TACGTAACGTACGTACGTCGTCGTCCTCTCTCTCTCTCTCTCTCTCTCTCTCTCTCTCTCTCTCTCTCTCTCTCTCTCTCTCTCTCTCTCTCTCTCTCTCTCTCCGCGTTTTTATCCGCGAACCGGATGTCGCCTCCGTGCGCATAAATTATTGCAAAGAACACGCGATAGCGCTATTGATCGCTCGCGGGATGCAGACTCGGGATGCACAAGGCGGCATTCGGCTCGGCGTTGAATTCCCGTTGTCGGCGATGCACGCGCGGCGTCGTCGCCCGGTACCCACGATACCGCCGCGCCGATTAGACCGGATGGATCGTCGGTAGACGAGAGTCATGTGTTCGACGAGTTATAACGATTTAAACTGGGACATGTGCCGACGAGCACGACGGTGGGGCGAGAGAACGGCTGTTCGCCTGGTTGACAATAAGGGAGAGCGACCCTTACCGCGGAGGGAAACAGCTGTTGGTCGAAGGTGTAGAGATGCCGGGCAAGAGGGACGGGGGCAAGCAGGGAGGAAAAAAAAGAGGTTACCACCTGGTACCCCGCTTATACTTACCTGAAAACCAACGCCTGCCTGTATACCTGCCTGAGTATTCTTTTGTGCGGAGCCCTGAGCATATACCGATTCCCAGGGAGAGAGAGAGACTCGGGCAGCATTCGATACACAACTGCATTCGACACAATGCACATTTTGAAATAATGTGCATAGCTTTTAATGGGAAAACGATAAGAAAATCGTTTCATATGGAAGTTTTAGGATTATTTCTTGGAATGATCCTTTCTCGGAAAAAGATGGACTGGCGGTTTAACTATTGATGCTCTTGTTAAAATTTTCAAAGATATTCTATGGTTTCTCGCTACAGGACATAAGATTTCTACCTGCACTTCTACAACATATGTCAAAAAATACATGGAAATAATAACACGAGAAATATTATACAAAGTCTTAGACGACTATCCACTGTCAATTAGAATTTTTGTGTCGCTTTATATAATAAGTTCCTAAAATAATAAAGCAGTTAAGAAAGAAATGATACTTTATCCTTTGCATATGCTATTAGAATAACAGAATCCAGAAAAAGCATCGTATTTTCCAGTTCCATATTATAGAAATTCTATTGTAACTAAAAACCTTGGAAAATACATATATTTAAGCTAGTCATTTATTTCCGACAAAAAAACTTAAAAAAAACTCGTTAAATAATTTTTGAAAAATCTTTTATTTTTCCATTTTTATTCTCAATTGCTAAATAAAATATAGAAATACTTTATCGAATCACGTGCAGGCTATTTCTTGCAACATGTCACTCTCGCATTCGAGACGATATTTCAAGACCGGTCAATTCTCGTATGGCTTTTTTCAAGCCAAACGAAAGCGTAACAATTTACATAATTAAAATGGACGTTTTACCAACTCGATCCTCAATTCTGAATTAAACATGCTACTTTGTTAGAAAAGAAACTTTCTACTCGTCGGATTAAAAAATAGTGATTGATGTAATTTTCTTAAATCTTAATTTGTTTTTAATCCAGTAATGTGTAGTAATTGTGTAGTAATATAACATGATTGATTTTTCCGAACCGAGTGCGACACTTTTGCCATCTATCGAAACCAAACCCGAGAATTGGATATTTCCGTCAGTAAACCGTTCGATCGATATTCTGTATGCCGCACAGATAGCAAACCAAGCGATTTGAAATGCTGAAACCAAATTATTTTCAAATTATAATAAAATCTCATTCTTTCAAAGTTAGATGATCGAATCTCTCGCATTGCCGGTTTTACTCCATTTATTTCGAGTCGAGAGATTTCGTTAAAATATATTTCGAGATAATCAATCATAATCATACTTTAAATATATCCTGAGATATCTCCAACTTAATCAGATTCCTTATCCTTATTTCTCTTTTTTTATAAAAACATTTATTACAAAACGTGGTATGATATAATTTATAACGAACTTAAAACTAAAAGATGAGCAAGTGATAATGTGCACAAAATCCCTATAATTTAAGTTTGAAGATTTCGTAGAGCGTCTTGTAATTTTTTTCTCGCTATAACCACTCGATCTTCTTGTCTTCTTATATCTTCATCTGCTATCGCGACCGCCTTAAACAGACCAACATAATTAACTCTGTAGACTTTAACTTTTTTAACTTATTATCTCTACATTAATTAAAAACCTTAAATATCCACTACATTCACGTTCTGATGATGTTATTATTTTATAGTGTATTCTTGACGCCAATTCACGTTCGACTATCTCTACCTGTACTAGTGGTTGATCAGGATTGAGAAATACTCCGGGGTTCTTCTCTAAAGCCGTCTTGGATCCTGTCTGTCCTGTGACTGGTTGAGTAGATACGTGCAACGCAGTGGCCACACTCTGGAGCAATGTTTCTTCTGTGATATATGGTCCTACTGGTTTCAAATTCTTTGGCAGATCCATTGCGTCAAATTCATAACCGTCCGGATCACAAGCTCGTAGACCTTCTAAACGTTTCTCCCAGAAAAGCTGGAAGGTAGATATTTAAATTATCATTGATTATTCATCCTACTCAGTACACGCTACTCTGTTCAAAAAGTAATGCAAGTTAAAAACAAATGTTCCATTATGTGAAAATTATATGGAATTATTGCTTTTATCATATAAGTATATAATAAAAATGTTTTTGTCAACCACCACCAACCATCACCACCAATCATTTAATTTATAATCCCATTCAAACAAAAATTGAGATGGTGAAATTATAAGTCTTTTTTCAAATCGTCCTTTTAAAATATTAAAATTGGCTTCCAACTATTATTAAAATCTAGTTTATAATATTTAGTATTGAAAATGTAACAGAAAAAAAAACAAAATTACATTGTCAACTTTGTGATTGCATGTTCAGAGTTACCTGCTTAGGCTTATCTTGGGAGCCATACTTGCCATCAGTTTTATCGGCTCCTTCCTAAAGCAACGATTTGACAGTTGTGAATTTACAAGGATAGCTAACGAAGAGCATTACAAGTGAATGGGCACAAGCAGAGAAAGTGTGTTTCGCAAGCAAAATGCAAGGAAAGATTTAGAAAGATTACCATACAGAAAACAAAATCCATTGATATATTCAGAGATTATAAATACGTGCTACTACCAGATATTATACATGTGAATAGACGGAATAACACGATATAATAAAAGGATTCAATTCATTGGTATGTCACACCGCTCGACGGTCCAATTAGCATATGTACAGTCAGTTACGATCCCTGTTTTTGAAACCAACCTGCTTTGGCTTTTCCTGAGTGCCTGAGTGTTTGATATCCTTTACCTTTCCTTCCTGCATTTTGTAAATTGTCACAGGTTGTTTAAAGATAGATGCCGTTTGTCTGATCGGCGGCACCAGCGATGCGTCGTTCCTAACACTACGGCTAAAAGAAAACATGTTGTCAATCTAAGTGTCATCAAAACCAACAATGATAACCTGTCATCTTTGCATCACAAATTATACGTGAAAAGTTCTTTCTTTCAATTTCAAAACCCAAGAGAATCTACGAATCTTGCCTCCGCATAAAATCGTAAATATAAAATCCTTAATATAAATCCGAGAATAATTTATTTCAACCTACTTGTAATAATAATCAACCTTTCCCGTGGTCGCTAACTGATTCTGTGTTTTCCTCGGCGGTTCCTCCCTCGCGGGCCAATTGAGCGGCAACGCCGAGGGATATTTCTTCTTCTCCACGGACATATTCATCGTTATGGATCTTTGTTTTTAAATTACGCTTGCCGAAAAAATAAACACCGCGATACAGAGGACACCGTGATTCCCTTGCGGCTTTATTGTCCGCCATATTGAAGCGATGCGCGCGCGTTATACGTAGTTCGACGACTTGCCCGTAGAATGCGGCACCTCTCGGTATATTTTACACACACACACACACACACACACACACACACACACACACACACACACACACACACACACACACACACACACACACACACACACACACACACACACACACACACACACACCACCATGTATAATATTTTTATTTGCATGAATTATGATTACAGCACGTTAAACTGATTAAAAAAAGTTCTATATCATTTTGCGATTTTTGTAATAATTAATGAGAAATTAATTAATAAGTCTGCGTTACGATTTCTAAAATCTCTTCACGTGCAATGGCTTTTAGCTAGGACATAAGAAAACATAAATAATACATTTTCAGACAGAATGCAAATAATTAAGTTAAAAATTATCAGATTACGGATTAGATTGAATTGGAATTTGATTAATTAAAATAGAGTTCACTAAAGAAATTGGTTTTCTTTCCTCTAAATAATTAAATTTAAATCTAATCTCAACTTTGATCCATTGGTCCGATATGGACTTTATATATAATTTTGCATTCACATTAAGACAAAATGCTAGAAAATAGAATTTGTTGAATGCATTACTAATGAGAACGCATTAGTAGCTATTATATGCAATAATATGCAATATTCTACCTTTTTACTAATTGATTCTAACAAATTCTACTTTATATTTTACTTTTTCATTCCTAATATGAATGGGATATGAACTCTTATATATACATAGAACGCACGTGGGCGTGTGTCACGCACGTGTTCGCTCCAGACGTCAGCGGATCTCACAGAAACGATATTCAGCTTTACATGTAAAAAGCGAGATAAAATTCTAAATCGAATAAATTAATTTTTTTCCAATTGCGGATTCTATTTATTTAAAAAAAAAAAATGTCCTCGAATCTAAATCCTTATTCTGAGATTATACATCATTTCATAAAGCTTATTCTATTGATAAAAAAAGTAAGTTCTATCCAGATGACAAATAACTTTAGATATTCTTTTAGGTGTACCTTTTTATATCAATATTTGTTTTGAAATTCAAAGATATCGATGGAGATTTGTTTAATAAAAATTGCATGAGAATCAATTGTTACAAAATTTCTATTTTTTTTTTAACATTAAATACGTCAAGGATTTTTTTTACATTTCAAATCGAAAGCTTCGAGTGTTAAAAGTTCTGATATCTTCGCTGAGATTTTTATTCTTAAAATAATCGGAAATCCATTCGAGGAGGATCGAGAGGACAGGTCGGCAAGCGTAATGATGTCAACTCTTGGATATAGATATAGAGAATTTTAATTGCCGAAAGAAACAATTTTCGCGTAGCTATAGGAACAACTTGAACAGTGCTTGGAAAAAGATTAACGCTGCCTGTCTTCCGTTTATTACGAACGTATGTTCTCTCCCACGGCGGCTTTCGTACGCTTTCGCGGAGTGCAAAATGCGAGCACGGAGACGCAATTCAACGTATTACGGTATACGATTTCCGGATGGGGAAGGAAAGGGAAGATTGGGGGAAAAGGCAGGGCACAATCGTTATCGCGGCTAAGCGATCTTTTTGTCACGCGTAATGCTTTTTTTTCCATGGTACGTGTGTTATTCAACTGTAAAAGAATATCGATTCTGTACAAGTCGATGAGTTAGAGATAATTAACTATTGAGTCTTCTTGAGGTATCGTTGTTTCTATTGGTCTATATATGAACGGGGCTGTGATTGTCCAAAATTGAGTCTCCAAACAGCATGCTCAAAAAATGTCTCAAAGATGTAACTTTAACATTTTTAAAAGTAATGTTCTCTAGGACGATTCATCGATTCGCATGTTGTAACTGATAAATATTAACCATGTTATGCAGAATTCTTGTCGCGGCAGTTATAATCATGGCATTTCAGATGAATTTCAGACAATCACAGTGATGTTAACGTGTATGCGTGCGTGCGTGTGCGTGTGTGTGTGTGTGTGTGTGTGTATGGTGGTGTGTGTGTGCCTTCCTGTAACAAAATATAAATCTCCATTACGCATCACCCGCTTTCACCATACGGCCTCCGAATAATAAATGCTAGCTAGTACCCTAAAAAGTTCAGATGCACACCTCCGGTCTTGTAATCTGCACCGAAGGTACTGATGTAAGAATTCAAGTGTTTCGCTTCGTTTTTGTATCGTCCCGTCCTCTGCAAATCGTCGGATGCAGATGCGTGCGTGGTCAATCACGCTCGATCGGTTTTGCTCGATGTTTAAGTCTAGGGTCACGATGAATAGTCACAAAAATACTTTATCGAATATTTTGCAAAATCCGCCCACGAACGTGGTCCGCTCGCTCGTGTTTGTTTTACGCATAATATGCATGTGCGTAGTATGCCTTATTATGGCAGTCAAGACTCGCAAACAATGTACATTGTATCCGTACGCGTGCGGCGCAACTTATAGAGTTCCTATTTGTATTCGATACCGCTCGTAATAGGCATATGAAAGCCAATTTTCTAATTACCGCAAAACTTTTAAAAGTCTTTCGCTTGTCTGTTTCTTTTTTTCGTTTTCTTTTCGTCCACCATCCTTCTCTCGACACGTTTTATAAAATCTCAATTACAATAAAATCTTAACGGCAGACGCAACAGTGCCATATAATTACAAAAGAATCGTATTTAAAACTGAAGGTGTAATAAGTACAAATTATTCCTCTTGTCGGTGGTAGAAATGTCAAAGATCACATATCGCTGGCTTCGACGACTGAATGTACATGATGTACGTTCAAAACACTGTTTAGCATGTGATCGATATTTATCAGTTTCTCATAGCCCTACAATTTCTCCGCTACATGACGTAAACGTTCTGTCTATATGTGTGCTCAATATATTATGTATAATTCTGCGACACAACATACATCCCTACTTTGACAAGTCTACAACACTAGATCAGCATTCCGTACGTATTCAGGTATTTCATCGTGGCGTTCGTTTTGCCATTGCGACGTTTTACCGCAAAAGAACGATCTCGCCCGACGAAATGCGCTCAATTCTCCGCTCCGTTTACTTCACAATCAAATGCAAAAGGACCTAATTATAAAGATTCTATATTACATCAGTAACGTATTACACAAGCGACTTTATTATCGCCTCAAAAGAGACGGAAGTTACTCATACACGGTCTCTTTTTCTCTCTCTTTCTCTCTTTTTCACATATTCCATTCGCTTCATCCTACTTACGATTACAGACTCTATACAATCTTACACAGCTAAATGCTGTAATTTTTATTATATATATATATATATATAATATATATATAATATATTATATTTATATATATTTATATTTATATACCCCATAATTTATTAGCTCCCAGATGCTAGCCCTTAGTTATAATTTAGATTTTCTTGGGATTACAGAAACGTGAAATTTAATTCGGTTTCCGTCGAATGTAGCGACCATAGTACATCGACCAAGTCTTGTCAAATTTCATAATTAACTTCTTGAAGTCACGTTTGAAAAATAAAAAAGAAATATATTTTATTTCTTCAATTCCTCCGTCATAAGTTAATCACACTTTGCGCCACGAGAAACTTCAATAAATGTTGTATATCAAAATGTCGACCAAACGTCGAGCCCATATACGGCTCAATACATGACTTCGTAGACGGTAGCTTTCTTGTCGCCGGATCCAGTCACGATATATTTGTCGTCCGTAGAAATATCGCAGCTAAGCACCGAAGACGACTCCTTCGACTGAAAAGAGGGAAAAGAAACGCTTACAATATTATATACTCTGAGAAACGAGATAATGATAATAATAATAATAGATTATCCTCAAAGTGTATTTGAAGAAAACCCGTAATTTACATATGTAATAATAATGACTAATAATAATGACCTGGAAAATCGAGGCACCATATGGCGTGCGCCACGCGTTAAGTAAATTGTCCTTGCCGGTGGAGACGAACCATTTGCCGCACGAAGCGAAGCGTAACGACAACACGCAAGATTCATGCAGATGCAATTGATACTTGTCGGGTTTCGTAGCGTGGAGCACCTCGACATTCGAGTTCTCCATACCCACAGCTAACCATTCACCGGTGGGGCAGTATCCCAAGGAGAATATCTGTGACGTGAAATCATGCTGCTGGAGTTGCCTGCCTTCCCTCAAGTCCCAGGAGCGTACCGTGTTATCGAGACCTCCTGTCCACAATTTCGAACCGTCTGCGGATATGTCGATGCACGACGCACCATCCGTGTGACCTTGGAATTGTCTAACCAAGGTTTGATTTTGCAAATCCCACACGGCTATATTGCCATCGCTGCAACAACTGAAGCAGACTTTCGAATCTGGGGAAATGGCTAGGGCGTAACACGCCGGTGCAGAGGAAGTCAATTCAGCTTTGATTCTCGGTGTCGGACTTGCCAAGTCCCAGATGCTGAGATTACTCGCCTCGCCTCCCACAATTAGAGTTCTGCCATCCGGCAGCAATTTCACCGACCTAATGACAACAAGGATCGCATTACATTAATCCCGTTAAATACCGCCACTTATGCGTGCTTTTAAATAATTACTATGCGCGTGTTCGACGCGAGGTGATACGCGAGGAGAGAGGGGAAGAGAACACGAGAGAGGGGGAAGGGAGAGTCAGGAAGGGTGGTAAATGCATACGGAAAATGTATGTGATAAATCGATGGCCGCGCTGCTTCGGCGTGATATACAGCCGGCGGACACGACTAAATGTCATCCAGAATTCAGAGTCGGAAATTAATTACATCGACCGCATATAGCGTTTGGGAGTTAATGTGTCACGAACGGCGAATGAAGACACGTGTTACCATCACTGACCTGATATAGTTGTCCCGTTGCAGGCAATCAAGCTGGGAGACAGGTTTCGCACTGGCGCTACCTCCTTGGCTGATGTCCCACACCTTGACGCAACCTTTGCCTCCTGTGTAGACGTATTTGGTGGGATTCGAGATTGTCACGGCACAGACTACCTCACCGTGAGTTAGTGTGTTTATTTGGCGGGCGTGACGCGGAATACCCGGGCCGATCAGAGCATCCTGCGGGAATGGTACCGGCTGCATCTGGCCTTCGCTGGACACGTGGAAACTGTATGCACTGCTACCAAAAAAAACGTCATCTCGTAAAAGTAGCGATTCGGTGATAAGCGTAACGCGGTCACGCTGACGCGGCGAGACAAACGTCTAGCAAATTATCAAAAGGAAAGAACAACACTCACGGTTTACCGCCCGGAGGAATTATCGGTCCAAGCGGTGCTCTCATACTGCCGTGTGGATCGTAAAGCTGCTGAAGAGGTGGTCTCGTGGGGTAACCGCCGTTGAGCGCCGCCGGAGGATAACCCAACATGTCCACGTGAGGTCCCGCCGGCGGATGATGCGGTGGCGGATAGTGCGGTGGATAAGGGCCGACTACCGAAGCGGAAACTAACGGTTTGCTAGAGCTCGATGGTTTCAGGCCACCGGAACCGGAACTACTGCCACCTGCGCGATATCATCAAAAATTTTTTGATAATTTCACTTCTCAGCCGTTCTCCCTTTTCTTTTCTATACTTTGGTGAATCGCCGGGCAAATCGCCGTACCTGCCGACGTCGGAGTGACCGGTTTCGAGATCGGTGTCGTCGGTTTTTCGCGCTCCTCCATCTTTTTGGCCGAAGGTGTGCTCGCGTTGCTGCTGGTGCCGCTTCTGGGCGATGGCGGGGGTACCTCCTTCTTGACTTGGCCGCTCAGAGGCACCGAGGATGGTCCCAACTTGTCGAGACCGTTCTCTCGTGGCGATGCCGTGCCGTTTGCCGCCGGGCTGGTCGGACCCTCGCTCGCGTCATCGACCACCAGGTCTTGGTCGCTCTTTTCACCATCGCTTTGCTGTCGGGGAGAACACGCACGGCTTTATTAAGGCGGACCGTGGATCGTGGAGCATGGAGCACTAATCTTAGATACCTACATGGCCTATATCCTTATCCTGTTCCTTCTTCAGCTTTTTCCCGAGCAAGTGTTCGTGCTGCGGATCGGGCGTGCTGCGCGGTCTATACTTCTCCCGCTCCGCCGGCGATATCGAGTTCCTCTGCAACAAAAATGATTGGCATTCAGCGTGCGAGGTCCGAAATCTTTAACGTGCTCGTTCAACAAGGACGTTACGATTTTTATAGAATCCCTTATCAACGCGGAAGATACGATCCGCTATCTCTTGTTCCAGCGCGGTTAATCCGATTACGGAGATTTACAGGATTTATTCGTCCAAAGATTTTTACGAGCCGCGCCGGATTCTACCTTCTCGATAGATTTCCACGGAAAAGTATCGAAGGACTTCTTGCGACGACCGAGGGGATGGTCGACGGATGGAGGGTAGAATGACTAAATTCCTTCCTTCCTCTTTCGCGATTAAATAAAACGACCTTCTCGTCGGAAGGGTAGAAGAGGCATCGACGGAATTACTTATCCCTCCCGGCCCGTACGACCTCCATTTCGCTCCGAGGCGAACGAAGAATAATAGGGCGGATCGTGGAGTTCTGCTTTTTTCTATCCTATTATGCACCGAGTGCCGAGAAAAATATCGGCATGCATTTTCGAATGCGAAAGTACTTGAATACCCTTGAATACTCTAGTTTTATCGACCTCCTTTTTTATTTTATCGCGCCTCTTCAATAATCGCTTATGCGAATTAAGATAAACTCTTTCCTCGTGAGTGAAATCTAATCAGCCGAAAAAGATTTTATTTTACGTTTTAATATGGAGATTGTAAACACGCGAAATAAGATCCGTACAAATGTCGATGAGCGACATGAAGATCGATTATTGGTATTCCAATCTTGTCTTCGTGTTCGGATACTAAAAGATACAATAAAAAGAGAAATCATCAACGCATCGGTAATCTTCATAAAATGGCGGAAAGACGCGTTTTTCGCAAAATGCGAAGATCGTGGGAGAGTCGGGGGAACATCATGGACCAGAAGCTTTACGAGCGACAGTTTCGTCGTCGTCGATATGGTCGACGGAGCATCGCGACGCCGTCCCGCGTATGTACAAGTACATACAAGTGTGGCAACCCTTATCCCCATCCCCGATAACTGCGCGCCCCATCTTTGCAAACCCGTAAACCACCACCCTGTCGCATCCCCCTCCCAGCCAGCCGACGTCGAAGTAAATCTCCTCTTCTCTCAATTACCCTTCGTCCCTCATCCACCCCTGACAGCGACGACGCGTCGCCTCTCTCGCTCTCTCGGTCCATTACTTCGACGCCTCGATATCATCTCCCGGCCTGTCGATCGAAGCGCTCCGGGGGTGAAAGGAAATAAAAGAAAAATGGGGAAATTTCGAGACGTACGGATGCGCTCGCGTTTATTTCCGATTTTAACGTACGAAATTATACACGCCGCGCAAAGGATAAGCGGTATCGCGCCGGTGTCTTGTCAGACACATCGTCGAGAAATCGCTCGGCGTCGAGGAACGAGTCGGTCGCGAACGCGGGTATGAAACCTCGCTGCGCGGAAAAATCGAACGGTGTTCTCGTTTGCGATGACAACGACGACGACGATATAGCAACGAGGAAGGAAAAGCGAAGACAAAAGCCGGGAGGGTGAGCAAGTGGGAAGTCTCGCAAACACGCGCTCCGCTCACGTCATGAAAGATTCTCGGCAGAAAAGGATCTCCCAGGAGCCGTATTACGTGCCTCTCTTTCGAGTTTTCTTTCTCGTGAAAGAATCCCGGTGCAGGAGGAAAGAGGGATCTCTCTCTCTCTCTCTCTCTCCTCCGAAAGGAGGAGATGGGGTAGTCCTCTCGTTATCCGGAAACGGTCGGTCATTGCTTATCCGACCAGAGTCCACTGAAGCGACGACTGGTCGTGGTCGTGGTTGGAAAGGGAGAATCCGACGAGAAAACAGTGGTTGACACGCGAGAAAATAAAAAGCGCCGAGATAACTTAAAATTGCAGGACTTAGATATACTTTATCGTATGAGAAAAATAACATTTCGCGCTGCGCTCTCACTTGAACTTTTTATCATCGTATCGTCTCGCGTGTTTAAAAATGGTCGCGGACGCAACCATTAAATGATAATCTTCGGTCAAGGAAAAAAAATAAGAATACTCGCGAACATTGCATAATATATTTAATTAAGTGATTGACGTGCCCGCGGTATTATTATTAAAATAGGAGAATTCTGGTTGCGCGGATGGAATATGTAACAAGTACGGTAAAACAATTCCACACGGAAATCGCGACTGGATTTAGTTTCCTGGAAAGTCATGCGGAAACACACACCATCCCTTGTCCGCAGTCGATACCGCTAGTAAGTATGTATCCGGAAGTCTCGTCTTTCGGGGGTACGGGGGGGAGGGGATATAAGCGCATCCTTTTTCCGCCCCTCCTCCGTCGCCGATAGCTCGCAATGTCGTTTCGCGAGAGCTTTCCGTTTCTGTTCTCTCTTGCTTTCTCGTTGCTCGTTCTCGTTGCGCCGGTGTACGTGCATATACACATATATATACGCGACACGTGTGTGTGTGTGTGTTAGGTACCTCCGCGAAGAAACGATATACACGCGACCCGCCTTCCATTCACGTAAGTTTACTTACACCTATCCCGTCGACTATCCATATCACCCTCTCCCACAAAGAGGATTCGTGCCACGATCAATATGGGGGTTGGTACCTCGGGGGAGGACGAGAGGATGGAAGGAGGAGGCAGTGGAATGTAGGAGGAGCTGCGGGTATACCGTAGATATATAGACTTTGTAGTGTTAGGGACGACTTGGTCCGCAAGCAGGCAGGCAGGCAGGCAGGCAGGCAAGCAACTTGGCAAGCAGCAGCAGGCACCGAAGTACAGTCGGAGGGGGAGGGGGGGAGGTAGCTCTTTCAAGGGTGAGACGAGAGAGAGAGACGGGAGACGGCGGGAAGGAGACGAACGGGGGACGGCTTTGGTCGTGTGCATGGTATTGGGGTTGGCGGTCGCAGCCATGAGGGTGGTAAGTGAGTGAGCGACTCCTTCGCCACGGCGCCTCGTCTCGACTCAACCACCCTAACCTTACGGATATATCCCAAGCCACCGACCGACCACCCACATCGTCCTCTCTCCTCTTCCCTTTTCTACCTCTCACCTCTCACTCCTTGCTGCCGTCGCTGCCACTCGTGCGCTCTCACCCTACGTCGACCAACCAACCACCCCCTTCTCCCGCCTGCCTGCCTGTGGTGCCTGTTTCCCTATTCCTCACTCCACCTTCGTCTTCGTCGTCATCGTCGTCGTCGTCGTGGCTAGGACCCTGAGAGAAGGTTACGAGCCGGAGTCGCGTCTCCCAAGACCCCGCAAACCCCAGCTGGTACAAGATTGCACCCAGTGGCTCTCAGCGTCGTCGTCGTCGTCGTCGTCGTCATCATTGACGCTCTCTCGAAGGAACGCGTCGGAACGAGGGATGTCGGGAAATTGGGATTCCGTGTGGATCGGTTACGATTCGATACCGTCGACTGCGGGGAATGCTCGTGGTTGACGGACATTGCGGGACTTTGCGCCGCGGCGCAGAGACGTTCGACTAATGCGTCCCGTGTCGGCGGGTTTCCAACCGTCGAGGCACGACAGAAACGTAAAGACAATGCTCTCCTCGTATCTCACAACTTTGGGATTGAACGTCGTCCGGTACAAGCTGTGCTCCCCTTACAGCCCGACTTATCGGTTTTGCGATATTTACCTTTCCACTCGAGACATCCCGTTCACGTTGTAACGACACCACGTAGATCTTGACTTGATCGAGGAGGAGAAGCGCGACTCCCCCGGCGCGATCAGATCCTCAAACTCTCTCGATTTCCGAATGGATAAACATTCGACGGTATTAAACTGACCTGACACTTGTCCCGCGATTTCAAACTCGCTCGAGACTAATGGGCCCTGAATATTCGATGCGTCCGATCGCCGATTTTCGTTTCTCGGGCGGCGGACGATTAATTTAATTAGAGGTGCCGAGGTCGCACCACCGAGTGATTCATGACGGGGTTCCGAATCGCGAGCGTAATTTCGAGTGGTTGGCTCGCCTGGCGATACGGGCACAGCTTACTCGCGGATGCATGGAATTTTTTATGATCGCGTCGGACGGGACGGCGCGGCGGTAATCGGTTCGCGGAATCCGGGTACGCGTACATGTCACTGGGTCAACCGGTGCATTCGTCATCCTGGCAATTAGTGTGCGCGCGAATTTTTATCACCGTCGCGCGGCAACGCAGATATCCGCGCCGTTTTGGCCTGGCCGATCTTTTTTGCGTAGCTTATCGAAATCGATACCTCTGCTGCCTCGGACGAAAACAAGCCGTCCGTCGATACCGCGCGCTTCCACACACACACCACACACACACCACACACACACACACACACACACACACACACAACAAATCGTACGGTAATTTTACTTTTACGAAGTATAAGGAGGTTATTTAGTTAATATACTTGACTTAATTACATACGAGTGCGAGGAGACGACGTAACTACCTAACCTTACCTTTTTTACCCGTTTTTTTTTAAGTTTAGGTTTTAAACTTTTTTAAGTTTTAACGTTTAACCGGTAAACCGAAAACCGTCCGTACCGTCGTTTACGGTTACCGCTCTCTACGCGTGTACTTCCGTCCGTAGTTAGTTCGGACGAGTACCTAAGTTATACGTATCTCTCTCTCTCTCTCTCTCTCTCTCTCTCTCTCTCTCTTTCGCAATCGGACCTGCTCAAATTGGACGACGTATAAATAAAGCTCACACGCAGCACTGCGAATCAGACCGACATTCACAACGCTATGATTTATGGCGGCGCCGTAAATAGCAAAATTCCCTTTCTCTCAGCACGTTACTCGCCGTGTTCTCTCGCCCTGCACTTTTTTCCTCTCCGGTTCTCCTCTCTCTTTCGCTCCCGTCCGTGTCCGTCCCCGGAGCGGCAGAGAGACCCATGGTGGAATTTGCATTTTTAAATTAACTCGCGTCTGTTTGCAGCTATCTCGGCTCGGCTCGGCTCGGCGGCGGCGCCTCCGCCGCCGCCGCCGCCGCCGCCGCCGCTGTGCTGCTGGGCTCTGCAATTTTATGCGGCAACGCGCGTGTGGATCACGTCCCATTGCCCCTGCGTACACACCACCATCTCGTCGCCGCCGTTCTTTCTTCCGCACGTACACAGGCGTTCCCGTCCGCGTGATCGATAGTGCAACAGTTATCGTTATCGCGCCGACGAACTCGCGGCGCGGACGGTTTTCGTCCCAACCCGATTCGCGCGACGAAACTGCGGAAGCAGGAAATTTCCCTGCTCCCGCTTCCTCCCTCCCCTTTTTCCTTTAACGTATACGTAACTTTAGAAAACCAGGAGAGCGCTTTTGGTAAAATGCCATTCCACCGTACGCACGTTCGCGATCCAGGTCTCAGGGGGGCTTAAGTTTCATCAAATTTTCATTCACGGGCAAAGGGGAGGGATTCGCTCTCTCTCTCTCTCTCTCTCAGATGCGATTCCTCGTTCCGACGCTCGCGGTTCCGAATCGAATGTCGCGTCTCGTACGATTGCCGCTTTTAATTACGTTTTTAATTACGAACGTGGCTCTCTGACGAGAAACGCCAACACCACGACGCCTCGTGAATACCTACTCGACCAGCTATCTCGGTCCGACGTCAAAGTCTTATATTGCACGTGCAATTTTTTTAAAGGGAAAAACGCCTATGCATTCGTTCGCACGCGGGCTAAGTTT